TACAACAGGGCAGGGAGCACTCCAGGACAAGAAAGGCAGATTTTTCTTAGCAGAAGGTGTAGGACACCCAACATTTAATTACTTTAAATGCCAGTGAGAGATCTGCTTTTTACATAGAGGCTACTTCTGTTCACTGCTGACTCATGTAAAACACAATGCAGGTTGGAGGGGGGGTGGAAGTGTATTTTGCCCAAAGCTTTTTTCCTTCTGAAAAAAAAAAGTAAATTAACAATTTCACTTTTACTTTGACTAGCTACTCAGAGATAACTACCAACTGTTGCTATACCTCTGAATTCCACAGAAAGACTAGTAAGATTGACAACTCTTCAATTCTATAAAATGATTTAAAACTTTAAACAACCAAAATTTTTTTCATTTGTTTTTTACTTCTATAGAAAGCTACTAATACAAGTCCATATAAAGTTTCTGGAAATCCAACAAGCCACTGTAACAATTTGTCACTCATAGATTAGACTATCATCTAGGTAGTACTATCATAGTAAATCTTCTGGGAACTTTACATGGCAATCGATTTGGAAGCAAGAACATGAGAACAGTATCAGGAGATATAAAAAAAACCCCAAATTACTACCTAACTGATTGGATGCTCCTTCATATAGTGCAGTTGCACGTTCAGAGGAAAAAACTTACTATTACTGAGAAGATGAGAGAACTTCAGAGTATTACTGCAAGGCGGCAGTCTGCTAGCCAAATTAAATCCCAAAGCAGGAAGCACAGACAAGATCAAACAGTATCACTTCTGATTCAGTTTTATGCTAAATAAATAATTTGTCCTTTCTGTAGTTCTTATATGGATATCCCCATGGAATTGGGATTCAACACCTTTGTACTCACCCTACCAAAAAAAGAGAATTCTTCTAATTTGTGCACACCCCCAATTACTACTTCAATCTCTTATTTCCGTAATATTTTGGCAAACAAGTTTTCTTCCCCTCAATCTTAAAAAATAAGGCTAATAGACAGTAAAAGAACAGCTTACTAAACTTCTCCTAAATTTCCATTTTATTGCAACAGTACTTGAGTTTCACGAGATACTCAATAGCGTTCATTTCCACAAAAAGGCTTATCGGTCATCAGTTTAAAGCTCTACGCATTCAGACCACGATGCCGGTTGTTTAAAAATGTTACTGTCAGCCACAATGGTAACAGAAAAAAAAAAACCCAACCACCCCCAACACAATAATAAAAGTGTTGCTGAAGTCTGACAGATACACAGGTTTTGTACTACTGATTTAAACGTTTTTGTAAATACCAACAAATTGATACTGTTTTGGCTGGCTGCATTCTGCAAGAAGAAAAAAGAACTCTTAAATAAGTTAAGGAAATAATTCAGTCTCTGCTTTGGAGGGCACTGCAGCTTTTGCGTTACCAAAAAGCTGTAATTTAAAAATACTTATCTATAAGATCACATTTGTATGAGGAGGAATACGTACATGGTAAGGCATCAGCAGTGAGAGTTACAAGAAGTCATAAAACAACCCTTGTAAACAAACATTTGAGACATACTGAGTTACAGATAAAGGAAATCAGATAAATCTGTGGGTTTTTTTTGTTTTGTTTATTGAAATATGAGCAGCAGTATGCAAAAAATATCTTTAAAAACATAACATAGCAAAACCTAATAATTTTATAATTAATAAAAAGATGTTTAGAGTTAAATGAAAAAACTCATTGCTAGAACTGTGTTTCCTACAATGTAAACAAAAGCATAAAGGTTATGCTTGCAACAAACACAGAAGCAGGTTTATGGAGCAGCACAATAAAGCAACATTATGTTGTAATTTGATGGTTTGGTCTATTGATTTGAATTCAGAATGGGTTACCTTCCTAAACAGAAACTTCACGACTTAAAAGAAAGTTAGTCACGTATTTGTCTTTTGAAGCAAAACATTTAGAAAATGTTTTGGTTTGGTTTTTGTTTGTTTTTCTAAAAAACATCACTAGCAACACTTTGGGCAACTAAAATAAAACAGTATCCTGAAAAAAAAAAAATTATTTCAAACTGGGGAGAGAGCTTGACACATTTTAACATTCTCTAGACTTACACTGCAAGAGTATCTGCCTCAGAATTGATAACTTTCACATTGCAAAACTGTGAGAGGGGGAAAAACACAGCTTCAAGCAAAAACCAAAAGAATTTCAATATTGAAACAATTCTATACCGAATCATAACACATGGGCTGTTTCACCATTCTTTTGATTAACAGGCTGTTCTGTTAGACTCGTCTCTTGTCGGTCAGTCACGCTAGAAAGTTTTTTTTTGGTCCTATAGATACTATAGCCCAAAGTCATCCCTTCATGTACAACTACTTCATGCCTAATGCAGTAAATGAATGTAATACTTACACAAGGCACTGGATTGCCTGCCAGCAAGACTGAAGTCCTCTAAGGAGAAATATCCAAGCTACTATCGTATCTTAGTGACTACAAAAGCAAACCCAGAAAGAACCTCAGTATCTGCGTGTTCTAGGCTCTCTGCTGGTACTGCCAAAGCTGTTAGTTAATGCTGTGGTTGGTGCAAAGTAGAAAGGTGCCCCAAAAGAAGAAAATACCTACGCTAGAAAAGTTTTCACTGAAGACTAACATTCAGTCGAAGCTGGGCTACACTGGAAAGGCTCCATCTTCCACTACCACACTACTGGCTGATTCAATTTCTCCATCCGTCCGTCTAGATCCAGAAGCGACTTATGCACAACTATGCTGCAACAGAAGCAGCACTCTCTGCTATCGCTATACTTAAATCATCATTAGGGTCAAACAGTTCTCCAGACAATCCACCCGTGCACTGATACCTGAATTTTCTATCAGAAGCACAGATGAACTACATGTGATTAGGAACACCGTGAACCAGCAGGACACAAAATTTGCTAACTAGAAAGCTCTCAAAAAGTCCCACTTACAAGCAGAACATTGACAAATCTTACCGGGTCTGCTCCTATAAGCCCACCCTGGTGAAATCAGCATTCACAAGGATATCCTGCATATATTACAGTTCGAGAATATGTACACAAAGCAGAAAAATGCCAGAGCACTTCAGTACTTAATGACAGCATCAGAAGTGGGTTAACCGGACATTATTGCAGAAATTATGGTTCAGTGCATGGGTAGCCATCTAACCACAATACTAGCACTAAGCACCAGCTCTGGCTCATGAACACCCACTTCAGCACTCATTCTCATCTAGATGGCCACATCTAAACGTACAAGTGAAGAGAGATGAAGCCAGGTGAAAAACATTTTGGATAAAGTAAAATCTTGTACCTACAACTGAGATCTTTCTTTAAACCAATGTGCCATGACATTTATTATAAAAGCTAGTCAAGAAAAAAAAAATCCTGTAGTGTCAAATATACATATTCAGCAACTCAAAAGTCAGGCCTGGGGAGAAGAAAATAGAAGCCTGATCCTGTGGCCAACTGATTTCGCATCTTATTCAATCAAAAGAACCATCTGAGCTGCAGTTGTAAAGAATGAAAGAGAAGACCCCAAAGGTGAGCTACAAATAATGTTATTCCCCTCCTCCTGAAGATGCACTTGTTTGTTTTTAAACACACTTGAGAAAATGCTTAAAAACCCAAAACAAGAAAAAAAAAACAAAACACCAAGTAATATAGAAATTCCTGTACAAGAGAACATTAGAGTTCTGCAGAAGTGTTACAGTTTATTCCTTTAAGGCATTTCATAAGAAACATTTTAATGACACGTAAACAACTTTATTCCTTTAAGATCATTTGTCACTTAGGTACCATATGATGCATGATTTCCACATTTGAGCAGAAACTGCCATTCAATAGAAGACACAAGAACTTGAGTAAGCAATCAATGTCTCAGGATTGCAGTAATTAACTGCAACACATCATTTCATAAGAATTTGCATTTTAGAGTTTTCAGCCTCTCCCCCAAACACTGAACCCTTTTCTGAAGAGGTGTTCAGAAAAGAGAAAAAAAAGGGTAAGAAGTTAAAAAATACAATAGGTCTTTTTCTGCATGCAAAGAACTTTTGTATATAATTCACTTCTAATTCTCTTAGAATATTTCTTTCAGTCTCCTTTTTTTTTAATTATTTAAAGGGAGAAGTATGCATACATTATTTAATTGATTTCTTTTAGTGTTTAGTACAGTGTTTAAATTCTCTACTGAGTAATAACAACAGCACAGGCAACAGGATTCCTTCCATGTGAGAGAGAAATTTCATCATCATATTAGTGCAGTCCTTCAATCCCATAAAGCTGCCAACTACAGTTACGAGTCTTCTGACTGAACACCTGCCATCGGGGCAGGATCGAGACCACTGTTTCATGTAGGCTACAAAGAAGTGATTACTTTTGGTCATTACCAACAGGTCTGTATTAAATTACATGATCTGGAAGTAAAAGCTTCTGCATTCGGTTACTAACTTGCTAAGCCACTCACAGTCTTCAAAGAGACTCAAACTCATACTGAAAGTGAATTAAATACAGTGTAATCACTAATACTGCATAATGTCTACTGAGAGAGTAAAAGGCCTAACACAGATCAATTCCAGACAGGTAAAATAAACAGCTAGAACACCAGAAAGAAAACAAAAAACTTATTCCTTCCAAAAAGTAGTAAGCACTGCCATTTACAAATAGTAGTGTTTATGTTAAAATAGAGAAGGGTACCTAAAAAAAAAAAATAGCCTTGGCAACCAAATCCAAACAGCATGAGTGTAAATCAAAGCAAAACAAGAATTACTACTCCAGAAACGTGCAAGATGTTTACCTTGTATCAATTACTATTTAAAATGGTGGTTAAAAGAGATATTACAAAACTGAAGTGGGAAAAGGCTAAGAACTGCTATTCTGCATTAATATACAGTGTGTTTATGACAGCATTTTCCAACAGACAATACAAGTGTTTTTACACCACTCCAATATTTGTAAAAAGTATATTTCATGTGTACACTTAAAAAAAATCACATTGTTCAATCTGAGGCAAATTAGCCATAAAAGTGTAATTTTGCTTATGACAGATGTCAACCTTAAGATGTTAAACAACTACACTAAAAATACAGCTTGCAAGCTGGAGCTGCACATACTGAAACAGTTTCATAAATGTTAAAACAATCCCAAACTATGATATGTATTTATTTTCTGAAGTCAGTCTTCATAATTCTTGTCCCTACAGGACAAAGAGAAAAAAAATTTCCAGTTAAGACATATGCCTGTTTAAGTTCTACTTGAAGAAGGGGAAAAGTGTTCTGAATTTTTCAATAGACTTTTTTTCCCTTAGGGCTCAACTGTCACTTAAGCATCACAAGAACAAATTGAAATGTAAAACTGATTAGCTATACACAATGGAATTGGTCACAAAGGGATTTAAAAAAAAAGTTAAACCGTAAGATCCATTCTCCATATAGCTCACAGTATCCACACTGGAAGTTTCTCTAGAATTATAATAAGTTCTCTAAAAATAAGGCTGAAGATAGAATTTCAGCACTATGAAACAGATGAGATGGGATTAAGAGGAGAACCCATTTGTGTAAGTACTTTATCCAGCCACTGGAGGGGCCCATGAAGATGAATTTCTATCCAGCACGGGGTGCTCGTGACATCTTGTCGGTGATATTCAGCTCCCCAGCCCTATAAAAACGAACAAAATGTTATCCATCAAGTGGAGAACATGCTTGTCTTTCAAAACAACTGTACTAACAAGGAGCAGGAAATCATGTTTTAAGACACTTATCTGAAGGTAACTCACAATCTAGCAACAGCTCTTATCTAAAGGAAAAAATGTGAGGTTGGGAAGGAGTGGGTGGGAAGCTGCACCTGGAAGCCTGAATTAAGTCTTGTCTGCTACAGGCTTGGAGTGACTACACAAGCTCCTCCTTGGAGCACAATGCTGACTCGAGAATGACTCCTGGCTATGGCCACATCTCTCTGCTGTTTCTCCCTGCAGCTTCCTATTCTCCATGCTCTCAAACTGAGCAATATTTATCATGATTGACAAAACAAACAAGATGTCTTTTGGACAAGATGCAAAAAAAATCCTGGAAGGTCTAAGTCTAGACTCCATACTAAATCAGAAACGGACAGCATCTTCATTAAACAATGTTGAGAAAACACTATTGTGAGAATAACAGCACAGTTTGACTTCATAAACTCAAATCATGTCTTTTTTTCCATAATCATTTTTTTTTAAAAAAACAATATTAACATATTTGAAGAAGTTGCAATTTTTTCTGCAGTCACTTATGCTCCTCTCACAGTCTTTTAGTGGTCTTGTAGTTCACTTTTTTCCTTCAAATTTAGAGCACCAGCTCAAACCTCCTTTAATAAATTTGGAGCAACCACAGTGATCAAATCCCTGTCCTGAATACTGAAGTAACTAAATATATAGCCAACATTCAATACAGCAATCTGTGCTTTTCCTTTCTCGATTCAATTTCCCTCTCCCCAAATGAACCATTTTCAAAACATCATTAAGAACCACTACATCAGGTCAGAATAGCTTTGCTACATTGTTACAGTGCTAATGTAATTATCAATGAATACCCAAATCCCCAATAAATTTGAACACCCCCAAAATAATTTGTTTACCTTTACAAAACTCATTCGAATGGTGCACATTTTGGTGAGCTCATACACTGCTTCAAATCCATGGTTGACAGACTGAGCTAAAAGCTGAGCAAACTCCTGATTGTTAAAAATTTTCAGACTGCATCCACTAGGAATCTTGCATACAGTTGTTGGATGAAAGCCGTGGTGGTAGTTGCAGTTCCTGCTCTGCACAAATATGCTGCTATCACTTAAACACTCAGCATAGACTTCCCCACCAACATAGTAGAGATGAACTCCTTGAAAACAAAGATAAAAACATTTCAAATTACTTTTTTCCAGAAATATAGTACCTAATAAAACTCTCTCTAATTTAGAGACAAAGTAAATTTTCTGTTTGAGGAGCTTTTCAGAAAAACTTTTGCCCACACTGTAACATACCTTCTAATTTCAAAATACAGTAGGCTTCATTATACATCGGCCACTAGATGTCCTTCTCTCATCAATTACAGAATAGAATGAAAAAAATACTTCTACACATCAACAGTTATTTCAAGCTATCTTCCTAGAGAACTTATGTGGATTTTAAAACGCCAGTTTATAAAACTGGTAGCTTCTGCCTATGGCAATTCCACCAGAAATAAAAGCGTCCTGGGAGAAGGAGCAGTGATAGACTTGAATGAAAAAGTATATCCATAGTCTGTTCTGATTTTCAATGTATTTTATCAAGCAAAAGCAGAGGTAAGTCCAATTAGTTGCACAACTTAAATACCATCAAGGCTTTGCAGACCTTAAAATCAAAGCCCCTAGATTTATCACAACTGCCTGGATTCAGCTATGTACACAGATGCTTCCCTACCTTTATGTTCAGAAGCCTTTGTAACACTATGTCTGACTAAAAATCAATATATTAAAGTTGCTGATCCTTTCGGTATCCAAACACTGATTCTCACCACTACTTCAGCTGAGATTCTCATTCTCCTTCTCCCTGATCTCCCCCCTTTCCCCCACCCACCACTGTTATATTTATATGGTTGGGATACAATTCCGCTTGGCAAGTCTTCCTTGCAACACACTGAGAATCCACTCCGGACTCTCCCGTGGTTTGCCAGATGAGGCTGCAGCAAGTCAGCAGATGCAAGTTAATCTTTCAGACAGCAGCAACTGTTGTGAACATTGCTAAATCCACTCGGGACTAAGGTAAGAGGAAGGTTATGCAGAGGAACCAGTGGCTTCATCAACTATAAGCAGCTGTCAGAAAACGTGGGGTGGGCAAGAATGCATTTTCACAACACAAACCTATTTGTTTAAAAAGACAGGGACCACCACTTGCTAGCTAACTTCTGGGTAAAGACCTTCCGAGAGATCTCTGAAGAGGGGAGTTGGATAATATAACAGTCTGAAAAGATGACAGATACTTCTAATTGTGCATTGGATTATTTTTGAAGCCACTTATGCTTGCAATGCAATGCTTCTACAGAAAAAAAAAAAACTTAGCAGACAGAATTAGGTAGTTTTAAGGAGGCAAAAAACCAAGACCTTCCAAAAAAAAAAATCATAAATAAATAGTATTTTATCCCAAAACATTCTTAATTGTTCTCAACTGCTACCACAAAGTTTTAGTTTAATAATTAGTATTAGAGATGTAGACATTTTAAAGCTCACTGCAGTCAATACTATTCTACAACATGATGTTGTATCCTTGCTACATTTCTGACCTTAGGCAGATGCACAAGATTTCTGCACCAGTACCATTGCAAGGGGTAAGCCAAACCAAAAGAACCTAACAAACCACCTAGGCCCCAGAAAGCAGATGTTCCCCTTTATAACATCAGATTTTTCTCGGACAACAGCATCGCAATGACAAGTTTCCAATAAATATTAATATAACTCATGGTCTCCACATTATCTGCAAAAATTTGCCATATTTACAGTAGTTTCTAATTAAAAAAAAGTATAGGATACGTCCTGAAGATATATTACAAGCAACAGTGACTTTGATCAAAACTGAAGATCAACTGTACAAAATTATCTTAGGTGTTATAAAGGCCTCTAGATATGTACAACAGAAACAGGGTTCTCTTCTCAGGACTTAGTCAAAAAAAAAGAAGATATTCAGAAAAGGAGTACTATATTTTAAGATAATCCAAGCGCATTCCATCAAAGATGAAAATCGTGCATCTTTATGTGCTATCAGCCAAACAGTACGGGAAAACTAGAAGATCTTGCAAAACCTGCTGTCTCCAGGAATCCCTCCCACACACATACACACCCCATGGATTCACTCAGACAAATGAGCCCTTGCAGTTTTGCATTAGCACTTCAAAGTCATCCAAGATAGACAGCAGCGTAATACCTTGCATGAACAACAAAATAAAATAACAGAGACTATCAGAACTCCTGCAACATGTTTCTTGGTACTGAAACACAAAATTCTACAAACAGACTATCATTAACCGTAACAAACAAGCCCCTATGACAATATAGTTTGGTAAGGAAGAGGTAATACTTAAGTTGAAGTAAAAACAAGGACTTAGCTCCTTAATCACACGTAACACAACTAAGCTTTACCTTTTCCAATATGTCGTCTAGTGTTCTCAATTGTTGAGTTGCGATTAACATTTGAGAGCAAACCTAAGCAGAACCTGTTTTTATTATTGGAGGGATCTGTAAACCCATCTACTAAGACACTTGTAGAAGATGCATGAAAAGCCTCCCCAACACGATTATTTAATTCATAATACACAATCGAACACCAGTGTTTGGGTTCTTCATAGGCAACAGGCTGAACATCTGAAAATAAGCAAAATGGAAATACCAGTTTACATAAGTGTTAAAATATTAAATATAAAGTGTAAAGCAGGCCTTCTAAAATATCAACACATAACTGTTGAGTAAGCTTTTAGTTATGATGGGCAAGAACTGTCCTGATCAAGATCTTAATGATTTTCACTTTCATGCATTTTAGCTAGTCCACTGATTTCAAAATTATTTTCCTATTTTAAGCCTGAAACAAAAAAAACTACACAAAAATTATAAATGACACCGATATCAGGTGAAACATTATTCTTCTGTCCACTTAAAAAAAAATATGTTATAATTGGTATTTTAGGACTCCCATTTTCAGAGCTTCTGTGCATATACAATTCCAACAGCAGGCAAAGGTAGCAGAAAAGACTAATTCTGAGAAATTAAAAACGTTCAACTTTTTGTAAGCCATACTATGCACCTGAGGCTTTAAAAGCAAGAGATGCAAAGAAGCAAGACAAATTTTATTTCTCAATTCTTTCTGTTACAGCCCCAATTTGCCTTGGAGGACTGCTTCCACTTATCAACAAGGTTCACTGTGCCATTTGAAGTTACTCATTCAATTCTGTCACGAGTTGTAAGAAGCCAAACCGTGTCAATTTTACACCATACTATACAACTTACCTCTGGTAGATATATTTGGCATGATTTGAGGGATCATTGTATTGCTTGTGTCCATAGACTGAGAATTATCCTGCCCCATTTGATCATCAGGGGGCATATATGCCGGAGGTGGAGTATCAGCTACAAACATGAAAAAATAAGAATAAACAAGAATAAACCTCAACAATTTAGAATATTTATTCATTCTACAGTTGTAAACACACAAAATACACTCTTGAACAAGGAGACGTTAAAACATTTGGACCCATTTTCAAAGTAACCTGAAGACAACCCAGCCAGCTGTCTTTACAGTAAACTCCTTCAACAGTTGGATTCTTACCTATGGGACTAGTAACAAGATCGGACACTTGAGAAAAACTAAGAGATGTGCTTTTTTCTTTTTGCCTTTTTTTTTTTATCTTTAACTGCATTCCTACAGCTGGACAACTATAGTTCCCAATCTTTGTCACACAGCCATTGGCTTTCTTGCCTACTGTCTTCTCCACAATTAAAAAGAACGTAGTAGAAGAAATAACTTTATTTGCCGTAGCATAGTGAAGGCCTAAAACAGGTTGTTTGGGGTTTTTTTGCTGCTTCTGTAGGCTGAGTTCATTATAAAAGCATGGATCTCTGCATCCTTCCATGCAGCACAGTAGTCGGGGTACCAACCCACTATTATCCCCTATTTCAGAAATTCCCTCCTGACACCATTAATCTATCCATCCTAGTGATCACCATACTTATCCAAGAGGGATACCCCACTCTTTTTGCAGCACTGGGCAACCAGAAAGAACAAAGGTGAGGCCACTGAGCTACTGCGAAAATAAATTCTTTAATCTATTAACTTCTTGACTTTATAAGCCACACCAATAACCAGAGTCGATAAGGCTTCTTTTCTCTGCCCCTATTGTTGTTTTTTCCCCTATTTTCACTCAAATTGGTTAAGTTCCTATCAAAAACTTGCTTTCTTTTTTTTCCAGTTAAATACCACACGTAAGTGTCTTTATTCAGAAAAAGACATCAATAAACTTCTTGCTCAGCCTCTTAAATCTGCTTTTTCATTGCTAAATATTCTTCTAAAGTATGCATCAGTTATTCTCCACTGAAGCTGTGCAAAATAACTCACTACTATTGTATCCCTGACAAAAAACCTTTGGAAAAATGAAACTGTAACAACTAACTCTGGTGACAAAACCAGGATGAAAATCCCCTAAAATGCAAATGAAAAAGCAATTTATTGCAAGTATCACAAATTCCTGAGGTAGTAAGTCACAACAGTATGTGACACTACAATTATTTTTATTAATTTGACTTTTAGGCAGTACTTACCCGGTAGCTGAAACGGACTGGATGGTCCAGAGCTAGCTGGGGAGCTTGGGTAAGTGCTGCTGGCTGGAGAAGGTGGATAGGGACTGTTTGGCGAAATGGAAAATGGAGTGCTGTTGGGTTGCTGGAAAGAATCTGGAAATGTCGCATTGTGTGGCATATGTGGTTCATTGTGGCTTAGGTTCCTGAACTGAACTAGTAGACTGTGCTGTGGATTGAATTCACTATGTCTAGGCACTAACACTGGAGGTAGAACTGAAAAACACAAAATACAGGGAAACTTAGATTAAAAACTGAGATAGAAAGAAAGAGATATAAATAATGTGCTCATCATGGCGATTTCAACACTTGGAGTGGAAAGAGGAGTCGGGGATTCATCTGTCATGCCTTTATCCTATCCTGTCTCCTTCATTATTTTACATTAGTCTTCATGGAAAACTCAAACTTTACTCTCACAAAAATTAGAGCAGAAATCCACTTGTATTTCATGCAACTGGAAACAGACCTTTTTTAAAAAAAACAAACAAAATAATAGTCCACATATGACATATACCAAGGTACTGATTTAGAAGTGCAAGGCTCACTGTATGCGTACATTATCAAATCAGTGAAAACGGACATACAGTCTATGTTACTATAGTCAAACTATATAGTTACACGCAGTCTTTTTCACTGAAGATAAACAAAATCTATACTATAACCATCGCTAAGCTGGAATTTTAACTTTTAAATTCAAGAGTGCTGGAGTCTGGAATTGAAGTGCTACAGGAGAGCACTTGAGCACTACAGCCACTTGCAGTAGAGTTACAACCATTTTGTGGAACAACAGAAGCAACTTTTCACTATACTTTCCAGAGCAGCCTACTTCATCTCTCCTACTCGTAACCACAATCCTCACCTTCTCCCATGGCAACATGCCTTAGCAGCAGCCTTGCTACCTGACATAAATTTGGTTCGTACCTTGCTCTAACTGATGACCACTCTTCGTTCTGTTCAGCTCTGCTGCTTGCTAGTGGGAAGTCAAGTGGGGAACACTGTATGCTAGATTTTTTTTCTTTTAATCCCCTCAATTCATGTCACTCACTGATGAAATAGTAAGCCACTGAAAGAAGGCTACCAAGGTCCTTGCAAGGACTGAGGTTTTTAAGCAAGTTTCTCAGAGAAACTGGAGTCTTTTGATTACTGCTTTCCTATTTTCTTGTAAGGACTTTGCCACTAACTTTAAGGGTAGCAGGCTTAAAAGATCTGTGGGAAGTGTGATTTACTGCAAAAAACCCAGCTAGTACAGAATGGGCAACACATCTCCCCAACATCAAGAAACTACACTTTGAACATTCCTCTTCCAAACTACCCCATACACCAAATGTAATTTCTTATCTAGTTCTGGAGGAGGAGCAGGGAGTGACAAGGGAGGTTAATAGAGATTTCGTTCAGTTTTTAGGCAGTCATGTTCAAACATACCTGGGCTCTCCACCCTCTTATAGTGGTATGGATTGATGCAGACTTCCTTCTGTTTAGATCCAAAAGGAAACTCACAAATATCCAATGGCTTCAGCTCGTGATGGCTTTGTAGATCAGGCCAACGCCAAACACGACAGTAAATTACATGGGGAAGGCCTTTTCTGTGAGAAACTTGAAGTCGTCCATCTAAAGAGCGGGGGATAGTAACACACTTGCTGGGCTGTCCTGGACTGCTCAAGGCTTTCTCCAGTTCTTCCATAGCACCTTTTTTCTTTTTCAGCTTTTTTACCAAAGCATCAACAGCTTTTTCTGCCCATTTTTCCTCTTCATCTCCTTGTTTCCAGCCCAACAGACGCTTTACAGCTGGGCTAGTAAAGGAGAACAAACTGGCCATTGACGTCATTTGACACAAGTCTTCAAAAGGTTTGTTGGGTTTTGTCTGTTGGGGTTTTTTTATTTGTTTTTTCAAATAAATGTCAGTGTATACCAAAAGCAGTTATTGCCACTGATGAGCTGTATTATTTCTTGGAGGCTGACAAATGAACATACAGATGTCAGTGATGAAGTCTTCACATCAAAAATAATGATTGATTCCTCCAATTTACTTCTATTAAAAAGATAAGTTAACAAGTAATTAGTAAACAAGTAAAGAATGTGGTAGAACAAAAAGGTAGATACTAAAAGAATGTCTGCTTCAACCCTAGCCATTGCACCTGATTTTATTTCAAAACAAAATCCAGAAGTACTAGGACCTCACCCCAAAGCTAAATAAAGTAAAATGCGATCAGAGTCCCCAGTTCTTGCATTACTGACCAGTGGAAAAAAGGACAGTCAAGGGACCAAAGGGACAGCATGGCTTCTCTTAACCATGTTCCTTAAATCCGTGAGTTTCCTTCAGAAGCCAGGCTTGGGGAATATGCTTTAAAACTGGTATTATATCCCTGTCACAGTGCTTCACCAGAAGACTTAAACTTGCTGTGAAGAAACAGGGAAAAGACATGGTGGAACCAGTAGTTCCACAGCCAGAACTGTACAGAAGTACTAAGCTTCTCAAAAGAATCTTTATTTCCCAAAAGGAGAATATACTAAAGCATCTACTTGTTCCTGAGCTCTAATTAGGTACCCTGGTTTTTTTGGTTGGTTGTGTTTTTTTTTTAAAAAAAAAACACAAGGAAGAAACTGTAGATAACAGAGAAAAGCAATTAAAAGAAAAACCCCATAAAAACCTCAAATCAACCCCTCCCCAGTCACTCAGAAAGGTGGTCAACCTTTTCAACTGTAGCTATTTTTATGCTGCACTTCCTTATATCTTTTAAGAAGAATATTTGAAGCACTGGATATTTTTAGCCTTTGGCAAAAAAAAAAAAAAAAAAGTTGTTTTCTTTTCCCCAGAAAAAGACAGGGGGGAGACAGGCATGGCAAAGTAAGTACTAGAAACGTGACCTTTACTACAAACTGCCTCAGAAAGGAGAGGAGAACAACAACACTGCAACTCAAACACTGCTAGTGAATGGTGGTGTTTTCTACCACTCATCAGCTCTAAAGCAAATCCTCCCCCCACCAATTTAAGGAGTAACGATGACAAGAGGAAATGATGTGCTGTGGCAACGAACTGATAAGAACTTGTAAAATCCCTTGTGAATACTAAATAAGCAAGTATAGACAATGAGCAGCTGGCAAAAAGCAAGAGCAGAGCTAAGAGAAAGGATGCCAATAACAAAAGATGCTTCCTTTCTTGCTACAGAGACTGCCAAACAACATTGTCTCTCAACTTTTCATAAACCGTGGTGAAGTAGAACACCTAATATACCCCAGACACTAAATCTGCACATAAGAGAAAAAGGTGGTGGTGGCGGTGGGGAGCAAGATTTAAGTACCTCTGTCCTTGTTCTCTTAGATTGCTACCTTTAATCAAGTGGATCTTTTTTCCTCCCATCTGTGATTAAAAGTAATCTGATAAGGCTTTTTTAAGTGTCTAGGCACATTTGCAAGCTCAGTCAGACACATGGATAGGTACTTTCCTATAACAGAACCATATATTAAGCATCACCAGCCAAAGGTACAGCCAACGTCCCTAGACAAAGCATTTGTAGTGTCCCGCATGTAATCACGCTAGATTTTCTACTGGGGAGGTGGACGGTGAGGAAAGCAAGGAACAGACCCAAGGACACTCAACTACAAAGAGCGTAAGTTAAAAAACTTATAAACACCCTTTACAAGAAAAAAAAATCAATTTATTTCACACAGTAGCTTAATCCCATTGCTGCTGCTTTGATTATTCAGCTTTGTTTCAGTAATATGGAAAAAACTGGGAAAAGCAAAACAAACAGAAAAACTGTTTGAACATCTTTCTTCCTAAGCTCTCATGAAAAACAAAATTAAAAGAAGACATTAAAAGAACAAAAGTATCTCACTGCTTCAGTAAGTCCTTAGAAGAGGGTATTGCAAAAAGAAAAAAAGAAAAAAACAATTTTATATCACCTTATATCTTCAGAAATAAGGACAGGTCTGCACTTTAAGTATAAATTCAGTTCCCTAGAACTATTACACGAGAACCTTTGCACCCTTCAAAGTAACAGGAAATACATAAAGGGAGATAAACTTGGCCAAGAACACAGACTAAATTTATTCTCTTTACTGAGGATAAAAGTTTAGTGTTCTAAAAAGTAAAAGCTGTTTACAGTCGCAATTAACTTACTTCCAAGCCTTGTGTACATTCAATAGCTGTAAGATATCAGCAGTTGCTCACACCCCTAAAAAAGGAAATGAACCCACCTAGAATCTCAGACCAGCAAGAAGACAATTAGAAAGTTCTATTTCTGTTTCTCGGCTATGCTTTCAAAGAATCTTAAGAATCAAGGCAGAACATACACTAGAAATTCCTATAGTTAAGTCGAGCTCAGAAGAGATTTCAAGAAACACCTCTTGGCTGTTGCCACTCTGATCTATTCCATTACAGCTGTCCCATCTATATCATGCAATTGAGTTTACAGATCTATGATTCTATTCTATGATCATGTATAGTATGGGGTTTTTTCTTTTTTTTTTTTTTTTTTTTTTTAGTATTTTGAACACAGTAACTAGGAATGAAATTTTACTGGTTGTGTATCATTTCAACATCATTTACCCACAAGTATGCTCATGGAATAAACAAGCTAACTAAAAGCAAAGAAAGTAGGAACAGTTCTACTAAAACGATGCTTTGCAGTAACTATTATTTATAGGGCAAGCATCAAGAGAATTTTGATAAATTACTCTGTCCTACAAACTATGATTTTAGAAATAATCTGCTTGGAGTAACATAGTTAACTCTAAAAATTTTACTATAGTCTGAATACCTATCAACAAAACCAAAACCTAGTAGAGCAAGTATTCCAGAAGCATCGTAACAGATTTGATCAAAACTATTTCAACTTATTCAAAAAAAAGTTTCCACATACATGCCTGTACCGTAACCACTGAAAAATGAGACTGTTGAAGTTGAAAACTCTAATAGCATTTACCGTAAATCCATTCTGGCCACCCATGAGGCTTTCAAGACTCTTCTGCTGAAGCGTATTTTTACCTGTTCAAGAAAAGCAAGGGCAAAAAAAAGAAACGCTGCAACAAACTACTAATAGACTTTGAGAAGTACAAATGCCACTGAATTTATCTTGTTATAGGCCTTTCGGAAGTTCATTTTGGAAGGCAAAAATACTGACGGCTTACAGCTTTTGCTTTTTTCTTAAGAAAACAAAGTAGAATTAAAAAGCTTCATGAATTATTTGTACAGTAAAAGTGTTTCCTTCTTTGGAGCTATTTAAGGTCACAAAGCAGTAGGTTCAGGCATTTATGTAGAAACCAAACATTTTCATGTCGAAACTGCAACTCTTGTATGGTTTTAAGATTTCTGAATGAGTGGCATAAACCACATTTAGAACATTTACTTGCATTTCCTGTAATTTCAGCATCTAATTTTTGAAAGGTTTCAAAGTAATCACGGCATCTGCTAGGAACAGCTTCACCAGATCATCTATATTTACAATCAATTTCTTCCGAGGCTTTCAAAGTGCGTGTTATGAGCTGTGATTGCAGTACAACAGTGCATCACTAAGATTTGAGTACAGAAACAAATGCTTTAAAGAGTCAGATTTTTGTTCATAGTGTTGCACAAATTACTCGTAGTGTTACACCTCTAGACGCAGTTGGTAACAACTTCCATGGGGGAAAAAAGCTTTCTTAAACTTACTTAAGAGGCTGAGGGTCTATTATGCATTACCTTCTTTTATTAAATAACTTTTCAGCTGAAAAACGTGCTATTTAAAAAAAAAAAAACCACAAAAAACCCAGAACAGCCACAAACACTCTTTAAAGAGTGAGTGTAATGCATTGCATGGGGTAGCATGAGGGGGCTTTTAATGGGTGAGTATAAAAGGAAGTAATCGCTGTATCAAAATTAGACTTTGGGGCATGCATTATTTATACATTTAAAGTTCTTGATAACGACTACAGCAAATGGAAGGAAACCAGTGGCGTGAACAGGTCCATTGTTTGAACCCCTTCTTAATACCTCATCAAGCCAGCTAGATATAAACAAAGTTGGCTAACAGCAGAACCTACAAATTGCATTTTTTTTGTGAAGACGGGAGAAACAGACCACCTTTCACCTACCATCACAAATACTAAGCAACTCAACTACCTTTTGGTTCATCTTCTGAGATTTTTGTAGCCTACTATATTAAACTGGCAAGTTAGCAGATTAATTTGATTCGCTATCAAAGAATCTTGTGGCTAAAAGGACCTGAGCAGGACTCACAGCAGAACGGATCAATATCAAATTACATACGGTGTATTTATTTCAATAAGATGCAGTTTTTATGTAACATGTTCTGCCATAGATTCCAAACTAATTTCCCACCTGCAAAATCTAAATTTAATGTACCATTAATCAAGCAACCCATCACCCCAAGCAGCATGGCAATGCATGATGCTTGTCACAAGCGTAAGAATAGAACGGGTAACAACTACAGAATCCTCATCCTTTCCTACTGCCAATACTAAGCTTGTATTGCAAACGTACGAGCACTGTTCTTTTCCTGCTTAATTTACTTGTTTGCAAATTAAGAAAGCTTCCTGTAGTATCATACCCAATCTGAAATAAGGAACTTCACTGTTCATGATTAGAAGCTGCTTTGAGACTCAATTTCATAATACAAACAAACAACCACTTATAAGTAGCTACACAATTGGTAGTTTATTAGAGTTGCTGCAGATTTGCAGTTAAAACTGTGTTTTGCAGTCAGCTCTTGTGCTTAACTTTATTGCCCCTTCAAACTTAGAAATGCTCAAGTATTTTGACCCCATACACACAACCTATTATATATTCATACAGAAAGCTCAGAAACTCAATTCCAGTATATTACTGCATATTGTGCTACATTCAGTTATAAATATTTTCTTTACAACTATCTAAAAATACAACCTCACACATCAATTTCAGCTGATTTTATTATGGTCCTTCTTTCCTTCTAAATTTCCTGACAGGAATTGCACAGGATTGTGCTCGGGTATTATTATCATTTTCCCAAGTCCACATCTTACATTGCAGCCTAGCGTAGTCCCATGCAA